GAAAATTCCTCTGACATTTTCCACATGATGTGAGCATGCCAAAAAACCCCAAACCTTACCCCCCTACCCAACCCTTCGCGGGAGGACTGGGAGGCAGCCCTTCTCGGCTGCTCTGACCTGACGGCCCAACGGGCCCTGGTCGAGTGTGCCCGGGCTGCGGCCAACGCCAATGGGCTCCCATAAGAGGGAGCTCACCTAGTGTTTGTACGGGGCGGCCCCCTAAGGACCGTTCCCACCCTCCCTGTAAATAACATCTGTAAATAAATGTTTTTCAGCAGCAGCAGTGTCCGAGAATGCACGCGCGATTGCACTGAAAAGCGGCGCATTCGAACAAAAAGAAAGAGAAAAAAGTGCTTCAGGTCACACAGTGCACGAGACGCATTTTCTTCACCTGTGCGATCTCTTCCTGCTCATAGGTTCTAGCTATTTTGTTGGGACGAGAAAAAAGGAGAGTACAATTGCAGCGTACGACAAACCATTGCAACTCCGTTCGCACTTAACGGATTCCGAAAATATTTGCGTGTTGAATTAGTGAGACAATAGCCTTCTTTAGTGAATTTATGCCATGGCCCCTTTAAGGGTTCCCACTGAATAAACAATTAAAAAAGACTGTTGACAGCTAGAAATAGAATGAAATGGTGTGCAAATGTATCCCCTTCTCGATACCTTATCCCAATCTTTCTTTTTCTGTTCTTTCAGGCTGCAACATTGCTCCAATATTGGCGTTGCTGGATGCAGCAGAATGAACATCAGCGCCACTACTGCGATGTCCATGGCGATGCGGAGGACAACTCCACTAAATCTCTGCGGGCTCAATAAAAAATTAAGTCATAGTTCAGAAAACAAAGACAAACTGTACACGTTATACAGGATGCAAAGCTCGCATTGCATCGGAATAGTCCCGAAACTTAAAAATTTTGGTTCATTAACGACTTTTGAAGGATGGTAGTGGAAAGATGAAATGACATTTCACTAAATCACAGAACACGATATATTGATGAGGCGTACATACCCGCCATCGCTCTCAAAATTACGCAAAAGCTGTTTATACAATGGCGAGAGTTACAAACCCAATCTTAGCCGAGGCCAGCTGTCATACCTAATACACTCAGATTTATACGCGACAAACAAGCGGAGGATAACGACTCTAAGACCGCCCTATAGCACATCCTATGGAAATGTGCATGTATATTACAGCATAAAAGTGGTGCAGCTTGTAACATAAGCGGTGGGAGTAACTTCGCAGTGCCGAAAATAATGATGGACGATAAAAAAAACAGATGACACGTGCACTGAATTTTTCAGTACTGTGAAGTTATGCCACCAGGTCTGCAATTTCTGCTTAGTGTAAGCAAAAGTATTCAACTGTGCGAGAAAAAAGAAATCAGGTGCTACCCGAAATGGTAGAAGTAGAGTGCACAATTTAAGAGGCAGCCAGTTTCGTAACGGAGCTGGTGATGCGCGGGTCAGAAAGTTTACCGATTCAATTGCAAGCGAGTGACTCTGGATGGCTTTAGCGATATGGTAGCATTCGTGCTCCTGCTCTGCCTTATCACGCTTTATGCACTTCCTCGTGATTGTATTGAGCAACACGCATTTATTAAAAAGGAAACATAGAGAAAAACAATTTTTTCGCGTATTAGGAAAGTACAATTTCACAATCCTTAAAACAGCCCTCTTTCCGCGATATGACGCTCGGTGGGCAAGAAAACGCGCAAGAAAAAATGGTGGATGGAGACGCCATCTAGAAATTCCCGCACCAAACACCGTGACGTCACAAATTTTTGAAGGCGTGTACTAGATCTTACTAGCTTCTAACCAATAAAAGTGAAGTACAGTCATCTGTGCCATAGCCCTGGCCTATGAAGTTCCGAAAATTTCATCGAGCCAATGTCGCAAAAATGCGGAAAATACGTTTGGAAATTTTTGGTGTCACGCGCGGAGGTTTCAGCGCAAAGTTTTCAAATGCAACTTGAACATTGGTTTTCTTCATTAATAATGAACTTATAATAATGAAACGTATGACATTAGAGTTCCCAGAGTGTACTTTGTCAGTCGAAACTAGTGCACTGTTTCTACTGAGTGTCCCTTTGAGGCCAAGTAACTTCTTTTCGTCACTTCTTGAAGTTACTAAAAGTGGTACAAAATCGCGAAAGCATTAGTACCAATCGGAAATGCTTGTTTGATACTAGCACTCACCCGAACTAATGATTCCGTTTAAGGTGGCCTGTAGAACGACGGCATTCCGAGTTTATCTTCGCGCACAGTGTGGACGAAAAAAAAAAACGCGAACACAGCGACATCTACGTTCTCTATTGTTTTGCATTTCTTTTCGAGCGGTTGCCGCCTGGTTGGTAAACGAAAACTACAAGACTCATCCACATTCAAAAACCAGCCTGGCATGTTTTTATTGCTTTCGCAGGCAGCGCATGACGAAAACTACACCCAGTGCCGTTCGCGTTTCTTTCCATCATTCCTGCACACAAATCAAAAGGCCCTGCTAACTTCGACGTGAGATAACACCCACAGTAATGAAGGAACAGACACCAGAGGCATTACAATAGGCTATTTTTCCAATGGCATTATGGTATTTTTCGTAGTCGACAAGGTTTCGGGGTTATAGCCAACATAGCCTGTCTTTTTATTCTTTTTCTTGTCGGGCAGGTAGAAAGAAAAATTTCTCGTCATTCTACGAGTGTTCCAATCCAGAATGGACCTGCAGTATGAGTGCTATCCCTCGAATGACGAGCAAAGAAAGGCTGCGTCATTTTTGTTTCCGTATTTTTTTCCCGCGGAGTGAGAGCATTTCTACAATAGTTCTTCCTTGCGAGCTCCTGGTAGTTCCTTTTAAAATGTCTAATTGAATTAACGAAATAAAACTTGATTTCTGCACCCCTTTTTTGGATCCACAACTTGTCTAAGACATCCATTAACAGCGGCACTTCTCTTACTACTTCTTTCAATTTGTAAGATGATATGAGTGGTGCGCTTGCAAATGAAATAGCAATTACAATTAACACTGTCGTAATTCTCATCTTCATCGTATTCATTCTTCCTCTTACCGGGATCATCGATATTGCAGACTCCTGATGTTTGATTGCATGAAAACTGTGGGACGGAAATTTATCTTGCGGAAATCCTCAACGCTGCGTTAAAGGGGCTCTGTAGTACTTTTTAAACGTACTCAGAAAACGCTACTGATTGGTAGTCGAGGTTCCCGAAAACAAGCGAGCCAAACAGCGCCGCGCGCGGCTCGAAATTGGAAATTAATTCTCAAAATAGTTGAACGATCTCTCGCTATATTGTCCAAAAATGATGCCATGAGCCCGCTTTAGCATGACACAAACACAAAGCCAAGGCAATTGGTTGATCTGAACATTGTGAGCTGTATAGTGACCGTGGCCGTCACGAGATGCCGCCACGGCCCTGGGTGTTCAAGAGGTTTCCCCCCTTTTCCCTCGCCTTTCTGAATAATAAAGTTTATTCCTCCTCCGACGCTGAAAGTAAGCCCTCTCCCATTAACAGGAACCATGTGCAGATGTGAAGCAGCGCGATTGTTCACTTGTGTTTTCATGTATTGTTTTCATTTGTATTTTTTCCGTGCATGTTTCATTTCTGTGTGTAGTAGTGTATATGTTGTGTACCGCTTAATTCTGTTATTCCCCTCCCATTTGTGCGTATTACCGTGTGTGTGCCGCAAAGTGAACAGCCAGAGCTGCTAGGAGAGGGCAACGGCGCTAGCGAGCGCCGCATGACATACGATTGCACAGCTCTGGCGGAGAGGTAAATGGGAGAGGAAACACGACGCGGAGGCAGTGCTCTGGCACCTCCTCCATCCCGACTAATCCCACCTCCTCGCACTCTAACGAGGAGAGAGGGAGAGTTGGCACATGCGCAATGTGGGAGCGGGCGGTCGCCAAGGGACGGATACAGCCCCGAGCAAAAGCTGCTTCACATCTAAAAGAGTGTCGTTGTGCCTGGAATGCACGAACGTGTATGTCATACCACCTCCTTACAAAAGACACTTTAGCGGCTGGTCTGTCATATGTTCGTGATGCACGTTATGAACTATGTTCGAATTGGTCGTCTATTGACCTGTAGACAGCAATTTCTGTCATTTTGGCTGTACACAGTGCGCAAAGTGCGAAAGCCCTGTCGAACTGTGCTGGCTCGTCTGTCTGATGTGCACTGCGATGCTATGGGGCTTGCAGGTGCTCAGTGACGAAAACCGTACGAAGTAACCAATTTGAACGCGGAAGTATTCTGTGCCGGGGTCCACCAAACGTACAGTGACGTATTTCCGTCACGGAAGTGCACGGAATCAATAAAGATATAAGCGATCAGAAAACAAAGAAGAAATGTGTTCCGTCGATAGCAGTCGAACCTACGATCTCTCGGCCCGTGACAACACATGCCGTGCATGCTAGTCGCGGCGCCGTGGTCACTTTTTTCTGTTTATTGCCAGACGCGGACATACATTCGCACCACAGCGCTTTCAGCATGTGATTAAGATTACAGAACTTTCATTATGATAAGAACCTCCATCTATTCCAAAACGTCTTCGCCATTTTCCGATTCCCGAAATACTTCCCGCAGTCTGCTCACACACTCGGTTAAGGAAGAATTAACAGGTCTAATACTTATATCAAAGTTTCGTACAACCATGCTGTTTCTTTAATACACACTTTGTAGGCATCAAAAATACGCCTTTCATATTTATCACTGTCCCATCACAGTGCCCTTTGTAGGGTGATGTAATGCATCATGACCATGACATCTACGATTAATTCTTTCGACGTGTCGTTTCTATGCGTTCGTCCTATTTGGCACGTCTCCAACAAGGCTATTGCAATTTTGCCAACGCCTTAACACGCCACCAGGTGGCGACCTTATCCCAAGAGTCGGCGTCGCTCAGAGCATCCATCTATACCCCCTCCCCTCCCACAAAAAAAACCAACGGTGACAGTGATTCGATCTCACGTCACAACATCTCTTTGCAGGTAGCGCATTCTTTATTACAGCGCTTCAGCGATGTCAGCCTCGTCATGACCGACCACCTAGCCCTCGTGACGTGATGGTTGCTCACTGCAGCACGCAAGGCGTCGGCCAAAATTTCACTTGTTTAATGTTCCGGATTCCTTTCTTCTTCATGGCGTTACGGGCCTTTTCGACGAGATTATTGGGAACGCTGTTTACGAATTTTTTCTTAAGGAGAACGTGAAACCATTCGTAAGCTTTCGATCGTCCTGTAAAAAAGGATTTCGAAGAAGAGGCGTGAGGTCTTTCAACACCAAAATATGTCTCATTCTCTCTCTCTCTCTCTCTCTCTCTCTCTCTCTCTCTCTATATATATATATATATATATATATATATATATATATATATATATATATATATATATATATATATATATATATATATATATATATATATATATATATATATATATATATATATATATATATATATATATAGGCAACAAAGAGAAGACGGAACTTTCGTGGAAGCGTCTTTACTAAACGATGGCGCTGATCTGTTATTGAAAGGAGCTTTTAAAGCCATGTATGAACGCTTGTCACATCACATTACTCTGACGAAGGCTGGTCCACCAGCTGAAAACGTTTAGTAAAGACGCTTCCACGAAAGATTCGTCGTCTCTTTCTTGCATACAATACGTCGGGTCCAGCGTGAATGACGTTCAAAGAATCTGGTATATATATATATTATATATATATGTATGTGTGTGTGTGTTTGTGTGTGTGTGTGTGTGTCTGTGTGTGTTTTAGGAAACAAACCACGTGGTCTTTCATGCCGCTTATTGTGGGTCGTGTCTTAATAAAGCACACCCTTTGTGTTTTTAACCAAAATATTCTAGTGAGTCTCCTTTTTTTTCCCTTCAGATAGGATTTTGCCCCTTTCCCATTCAGCAATGGCAGAGGGCTCCTCCTGTAGCCGAGAGATGGCGCCACTTACGAGCATCCCCAAAATCCTGAGAACGCGGAAAGCGTAAAAATGAGAGAGTGGACTGGTGACGCCACATAGCGTCGCGGAGACCAAGCTCGCCGACAGGGAAGTATACATTGCTGGAGTAACAATCCGTCGTATTACCCTTACATATTGGCGACGTTTTTGTGGGGCAATGAACTCCGTAATGATTTCAATCAGGCCTAACTTTATCCGCCATATTGTCAAGAAACAGTTGGGATGGAAAACAAAGACAAAAGTCAAGAAACAGCACAAAAGACAAGTCCTGATTACAGATCGAAAGATTTATTGAAAGAAAGCAACACATAAGCAAATAACTATTTGTAAGTCATGCGCATACTTGAACGTGTTGTGAACGAGCTGACACATGCACGTGCTCTTAATTACATTCTATGGGGTGTAAATGTACACGGTTCCTTTATCATGAAGACTCATCGAGGCTTGGCTGATGCACACTCTTCTCCCAACTTGTTAATGTTCCAAGCCTCGATCACTTCTCGGTTTAACTAATACAAAGAATGCTCGTCTTATCGAGAAGAAACAGACGTGCCCACTGCACACAATTCATGGACAAATGTCCCATGTACGGGTTCCTAGTAAAGTCCTCGAATACTCCCCTAGCCGAACTATAACCTAACCATCCCCGTTTCTGTGAAAGCCTTTTCGTCGTGAGCTCACATGGAATTTGCGAGGAGCTTTTTCGAATGGCCACCTACCTTCCTCTTGTCGGCAGTGTCGTATCACGGCCCAGTTGTCGTAATCGGTGTCCAATATCTCTACGCGGTCCAGATCTGTAGAGCGCAGAAGGAGAACACAATGTGAACTTGCTGGGTAGCGATGATAAAGAAGATGGGCGTGGTTAATCTAAAACAGTGAATTACCCGTGTACCAACTCTTACATGCAGCAGATATGTGGGATGAACCACGCGTAATTGCCCTCGAAAACTATTCCTGTTTGTGAAGTGGACGAAATGAATATATATATATATATATATATATATATATATATATATATATATATATATATATATATATATATATATATATATATATATATATATATATATATATATATATTAGAAAGAAGTGTATTCCTAAGGGCTCATTTTTTCCGTGTTGTGACACAATATTATTGAGAATCTAACAGACTATAGTTCCAAGAAATGTATAGCGGAAGTTGTTAGAACCAATGGTTCTAGTAACTTCCCCTATACATTCCTTGGCATTGTTGTCTGTTAGATCTTATTAATATATATATTTAAAGGCATTACCATCCAACACATATATTTGAGAGTATGTACTAGCAGAATCACACAGCGAAAACGGGATATACCTGACATATTACCAAGTAGTCTTTTTATATTTATTTAATTTTTTTCCATCACCATTGTTCAAATTATATACTAAACTTAAAACAACAAAATCTTGGTCAATCTCCCAGAGTGGGTACGTGCCGTATTCTGAGGCCCAAATAAACAAACAACAATCATGTCAATAGGCAGTTTTTGCACAAGAGTTATATACTTCAAGGTGACAGCCGTAAATGTCAATATTTCAATGTTGCCCGAGGTCCGCAGCGTGATCACTTCGTGTCTGAGGCAGCCTTCAAACAGGTTTACTGCACGGTAGCGCCAACAGCACCGACGGCAACTCGCACATCGTCGAAGTACCTGCCACAGAGCTTAAGCGAAATGTTAGGGTTAGGTTTTCGCCAAAAAGATTACACGAACCCCCACAGGAGGGAGCCATTTGTAGATGCGAAGCAGAGGGCGCTAACTCTTACACTGGCGGTGGCGTTGACGCTGGCGCTCATCGCGGCATTGCGCTGAAGAGAAGCCTCGGGAGGCACAAAGCACGCAGTTGATAAACCGGTGTTATCTACTGGAGCATGTCAATCCCTGCTAATGGACAATGAGAGACAGATGACTCCGACTGGGCACAGAGACGTACCAGCAGTCCGGTTTAGTTACCACGCACGCTTCGAATTTTCATTGTTCAACAACGCACATCAACAATCTCCCACCGGCACTACCTTAAAGGTCAAGATCCAGTGCCTATATACGGGGTGGCCAGACAATGGTGGTGCAGCGCGAACAGACGGTTTTTCAAATCAAGAAACTCGCTAGCAGACGCTGCCTGCGTTGGCGTAGCGAGGTGAGAGAGAGGGGAGCATATAGGAGAGAGAGAGACAAGGGAAGAGGACGCGCATGCACAATGGGGGTGTAAATGCCGCTGGGAGTAATGCATAGAGGAGAGAGAGGGGGAGCAAGCGTAGGCTAACAGACGCTGCCTTCGTCGACGTTGCGAGGCGTGAGAGGGGCAACGTGGGAGAGGAGAAGGTGGAGGGCACGCATGCGCAGTGAAGAGTGGTCACGCCGCACACCGGATCGAGCTCGACCATAAGCTGCCTCGCATGTATACAACAACAAGTTGTTCAAAGGAAGTTCACGCACACGCTACCGTCCATGGCGCCGGCTGCATGAAGTCCACTGTACGCCGAGAAATAGCCGAGCAGGCGTGTTCTCTCGTGGTGCAATGGGCCTTTTTTCGGGTCCCATCTGCACCCCCGGTGGAAATCACCGAAATTGATGCTGGTGGCCCTTGGCCTCGAAAATCGACCAGCCGCGTGCCGGTAGGCAATCTCTGGGGCCTGCATTTGGGAGGTTTTCGGACTTAAGGTCGAGGTCCCTCCGTTGGTGTCGGCGTTGTGAACCGTAGCCGCCGCTGACGATGAAGAACAAGCGCGTCGCAGACCACGCATTTTTTTCAGCCATCACGGCGCAGCACATGCAATATTCCTACTGCATACGTCACGACGATGGCGGTTACGCTGATCATGATGGAGGTGACGGCGATGTTGGTCACGGACAACGACTGGCTTGTGCATTTCGTTTGGCTGGACACAACGAACAACTACGAGGGGAACGTGCTCAGACCTCGTCTATGTCAGCTTCAGGCTAGTTACGATACCACAGACCCATAATAATGAAGTCGAAACAAAATTCGGAACTCAACATAACATACAAGTTATGACCAAAAAAAAAAACATTGTATATAATTGTACACCACTTGTGACTCATTTACATGCGTGAGGGGTCAATGTCACGGGCGATTTGCGGTAAGACCGAACAATCCAACAGCTTCGCCTGCTGATAATCATTCACTTCGTGGATTTGCGCGTGATTTTTTTAAAGGAGGGAGACAGGAAACGATTCAGGGATTTCATAATAGCGTACGCAAACCTTCTCTCAAGTGTTTGTAGCCACTGTACATACCTCACACACACTATCTTATTGCGGGCCCTCGTTAAGTGACTGAAATAGCGGGTAACCGCAATGAACACTTCGTTAGCGCGGGCTATGTTCCGAAGCTCCCTGTTAGCAAGTTTGCGCTACCAGATGTCACTTATTCCACATATGACATTGCATTTTGATCATCGAAAATTTTGGTGCATACCTCATAGAAGCTGTCACGCATGCCCAGGCTACTTACCTGAAAAAGGCTAATTGCAGATGCGATACAGATGCTGCAACAAAAACGGTTGTCTCGCGAAAAAAATTAAGCAAGCGTAGCTGAGTTATAACTCGACAAACTTAGTTTTGCCGCGTTCGACCACTAGAATTCCTTCCCTTCACTTCAGCTCATTCGCCGTATGCTTCCTAATTACGACACAGTTAGAGAACTGTCAAAAATGCCCCTGTGATATCCTTGGCTTAGTAATGTGTTGGCTTTATGTCGAGCGCTGCACAATGTAGTTACAAGGGGCCAAGAAGCACGTCGCCTTCAGACCCAATCGTTTTGATTGTGTATCCGCGAAACGCTTTTAATCCGGATCGCCAATACTCCCATCACAGAGAAAATTAGTGATCTTACCATCACACACATAGCAATCGAAATCTTCTACCACGTGGAAGATGCCGTTCTCGAAAGTAGCATTTTCTTTCTTGGTGTAGTAGGGATCTTTCGAATCTCTGCAAAAAGCATGCGTACGCTGGTAAGATTGATTGATTGACATGTGGGGTTTAACGTCCAAAAACGACCATATGATTATGAGAAACGCCTTATGGAGGGCTCCAGAAATTTCGACCACCTGGGGATTCTTTAACGTGCGCCCAAACCTGAGCACACGGGCCTAAACATTTCCGCCTCCATCGGATGTGCAGCCGCCGCAGCCGGGGTTCGATCCTGTGACCTGCGGATTAGCAGCTGAGTACCTTAGCCACTAGACCACCGTGGCGTGGGCCCACTGTTAAGAAGCACGTAATACAGAAAGACCAGGTATTCTACTATCGAGCATTTTCGCTGGACCTCGATACTCGTCATGCTGCCGGCAGAAGGTGTTTGGCAACAAGAATATTTAGGGTGGGGGTTGTTTGGGGCGCTAGATTGGGCCCTTTTTTTAATTCGCTAGTGTGCTTCTCTGCGCTGTATATGTGCCCGAGTAACGGCAGCGCCAGTCGAGCTTCAAGCGGAGATGCGTTGCTAGTTGAACGTGCGGGAGCTTGTCAATTACGGGTGCTTATATCCAAGAGAGCCGCCTCTACACTTTCCACGTCATCACGTGGTAAGCAAACTGCGCTTGAACAGGCAATCTGCGGCAAGTCACTATAGCCGCCATTACTTGTTCAAACTGCATAGTAGGAAAGCTAACTTTGCAATTTTGAAAATGGTCTATTCTCATGTCATGGTACGGGGGGGGGGGGGGGGACAAGGATTTACATGTTTTGGCGTGGGTTTTTGGCATAGAATAGCAAAGGGTGTGTGCGTCCAGGCACAGTCATAAAACCAGCGGGGGAGGTCAAGCCGTCTAGCACCAAGTCTTAAAAACTACAAGTACGACTACTGAATTAAGCTAGCCCAAGACTGCTTCCAATGATATGGCCGCTGAGGTGCAGTGGTGAACCCTTTATACAGCAAATAAAGTTCACTACTTCGGTTTCACTCAGTCGCTTTCCCTCTCCCCTCACACTTGCACACTCATTCACTCACTCACTAACATTTTCCGACAACTCCTTGCGTGCCATTGTATAAGGCTTCCTGTTTCCACGTTTCCCCAAAACACATCACTTGACCCTTGACAGAGTTAGACATTAACACATAAGACATGATTCATGGAGTGATAACGTTTCTTTTAATAGGACATTTTCGTGCGTGAATCCTACAACGCTGTACTGTTATTCATATAGTGTCTGGCGCATCATAGACATTGTTGCTTTTGCACCGTAAAACCCTAACTAACTAACTAACTAACTAACTAACTAACTAACTAACTAACTAACTAACTAACTAACTAACTAACTAACTAACCAACCAACTAACTAGCTAACTAACTAGCTAACTAACTAACTAACTAACTAACTGTTATTCATAAGTTCGTGACGCGAGTTATTACGTAGCATGACGTAAAAGGTGAGTAGCCGGAATCGTGCAGGCACCAGCATCTCCTTAAACACACTGTAAAAAACCTTTGAAGTCTTATCCGAGATAATATAGTATGTGCACTGCATCTAGATTAAAGAAAGCGGAGACTGGTTGCTCGAAAACGCACAGAACTTACGGACTGTATTCGCGGAAAAGCCAGTGTCCCTTGTCCTTCGGATTAAACGTGTACGTACCGCAGCCCCGCATGGTGTATTTATGTCCTCCCCATTGGTCGAGCCCAATCACCCACTCTTGTTTCATGAACTGTTAGGGGTGGTGAAATATGGAAAGGAAAGGGTGAGAAAAAAAAAACCATGAAAACTCTTGTAGCGTTTATCTTTTTGAGCGAAAAATATAAGAAAAGATCCTCTTCAGATGTGGTTATATTTACCGGAGTACGTTTTCGCGATTGAAGTTCTGCGTGAAAACATTCACAGATTCACGGGATTTCGCGACATCTGCCCATGGCGCCGTATTAATGCGGTGGCGACTGTGCCCTACCGTCAATCATTAGGAACTAGCCAAAAGAAAACACCTGCCTAAGAAAATAATCTGGGGGGGGGGGGGGGGGGTTAGAAAAAGTGGGTAAGTGGGTAACAATTTAGAGTACAGGGTACTTTACCATGGGACAGCGTAACACCACGTGTACGACGAAAACAAATCAAAATTAACTCCAGGTTCTATACAGTCGAAAAGCCCTGGAACATACAGGTAATGTCCGAATATTTTACTAGACCAAGCGCGCAGCTTTCGTGGACATTAGAAGACCCCCCGTGCGAACAACATAAGCCAAAATAATAAATACACTGTGAATCTACGTGATTTTTACTACTCAAACAGAGTTTTTATTATAATACTGGAGTTATCTCTGTGGCGTAAAACCAGGAATCAATCTTCAGAATAGAATCGATCAAGTAAGATTGTTTTTCACCCATTTCCTATGAAGTTACACCAGGGCTCTTCTGCCACCGCCAGTAGATGGCGCCACGTTTCTCATGTCGCCGAATCGTGCTCATGTAAAATAACGAATAATTTTATAGCACGGGGGCTAAACCCGAGCGCTGTATCGATTTTGAAGGAATATAGAGTTTATTTTGTAACAGATAGTAGTCTACGTTGGCAATTTTTCGCCGGAAAAAGCCAGTGTTCTGCCATATTATGCCGACTGCAGCCAACCTGTGTCAGTAGTAAATAAGTTCTAGCAATCATTCAAGCTACGCCTACTGAACATAAACTGTTGTTACCCTCACACTAGCAGATAATAGTGAACGTCGGCCGGCGCTTCCCAGCAGTGGCATCAATCTATAGACCCTTCACTGTTTAGAAACACAGACCCTTGACAACATCCGGTTTCGTCTATCGATTTGCATAATCGCGTCGGTGGGCAAAAGGAGCTTTAGAAAATAGTCCACTTATTTTCTACACTTTGCTTCCCCTATTTGGAAAAATATGTCGAAATGAGTGTTCTTTTGAGCTAGATAAAAATTATCAAACATTCTTTTAAGCTTTGACACGTTTATTTTATTTGAAACACTAAAGAGAGACTTTTCTCACCCGTTAAAAAACTGGAGAACGTGCTTTCAGTTTTGATGATGGGAGCTAGTAAATAAGGTGACCGGAAGTTTTTCGGCGTACAAGGCTTGCTATCTTGAAACCGTCTGTAGGAAAATAACTAGGGGCTAGCCATGGCAGCTATCTTCTTTTTTATTTGGAAATATAGGTTTCACTTCACGTATAATATAAAAGTTGAAACCACGCTTTCACGTCAAATTAAAAAAAAACGAACACGAATTCTCAGCTCGCAGGATGGCATTGTTGCCCGATCAAATCGTGTGGCAGAAAAAGTTCAGCGTGGTTCGTACTGCTATAGCAAAAGAAGAAGTAGCACTACCTTACTCCAATCAAACTCTTTTTGATTTCTGACGCTGTAGCACGTCTCCAACTGGTCCTCCTCGCTATTGCTCGCGCCCAGCATTCCAACCATGACGAACACCAAAAGTGTCTTGGTCGCCATACTCATAGTTGTTCCTTATGTTGCCTGTGGCGCCGAACCTGTAAAGCAACCTATGTTGTAGAAAGGAATGATGTGAGAAAGGAGTAAAGAACAACTCTAATGACAAACACCTTATTTGCTTTAGTTCCAAGGAGAGAAGGATGGTAAGACCGACCACTTTGTTAGACACAGAATAATGAGTCCAACAATTAAGTCAAGCAAAGCATAGAGTACATTCATAGGTGTCGGCAGGGTGTCGCGAAAGGGACACTTGCACCTTTCAAGCAACACCAGCACTTGCTGCCCGCTCAAGCTACACCAGCGTTCCCATTCCTCCACCAGCAATGCGACATAAGTTTGCACCCCAAAAACAAGGTCCGGCTGAAGGCCATCAAGACATTACGATGATAGATGATGTTTTATGGCGTTAGGATCATTGGATGGCCCAAGAGCGCCAATGAGGCGATTGTACTTTTCTTTCAATAAACCTGATAGGCTTGGTTCATAATGCTAAACTGCAAAGCGTAAATTTGGTGCAGGACAAATAGAAGCATGCACAGAACACTGATCCTGTACTTTGTGAGTTCTATTGCCTGCATGTCCTTCCTACGTGTAAGGTATACTAAAGTGGCAAAATGGGTATGGCCTAGTTAATTCCTTACCTTTCTTTTTTTATGTCCCGTACCAGATTCGCGCATTGCAGCTTAGCGTGTATACGCTTGCTTTTCTTATCTCATCCAAACCACAGAAGTGGAGGAGGAGAAGAGAGCAACAGAACAAGCGCTTGCTCTTTTATGCCCTTCCATTTTGTGTGGTGGTAAAGGAATTGACAGCATGGCGTATAGATGATTCTGTTAAGAAATAGGAAGCGGGCTTTGGTGAGCACGGGAACTGCCTCTTCGAAGGACAGTTACCACGCTCGCCAAACTCCCGCTTCGTACTTCTTAACAGAATCACCTACGTAAGCGAGCACGTATACATGCTGCTGAAGAAGGCAGCTGTTGCCTTGGCGTCCACTTCTCGAAATGTTGGTTCTCGCAACACTCCCAACGAAGATCACCGATTATGTCCCAACTGGCGGGAAGTTGTCTTTTCGTCTGCTTTACCTTGTTTACATTTAGGTAAAAAATACAACACACTTAAAATAGCACAATTGACGTCCCTAACGAATTCCTTAGCTTCGTCACCTTATTCGTTTCATTCATGTTGTGTCCTCTTTTAAATATTGTTTCACCTCTTTAGGCCTCCGTTTATCCTTATGCTTCTGTACTTTGGTTTACTGGCTTCTTAAGAACCATTTAAGGGGGCGTGCTGCGCTTGTACGAAGCAATGAGCCTTGTAAAGCAAAGTTATAGGAGTAACCTTAGAAGAGAACAGTGGGATGAAGGAACAAATGACTATTGAGGACATCTTAGTCGAAATCAAGAATGAATTTAAATAGTCACAGCATGCAGCGCGCAGGCGAAATAGCCCCTGGTCATTAGAAGTGAAAGACTAGATTCCTATAGCACTTGAACGCGCGAGACAAGAGAGAAAGTTATGGCTGCAAGCAAAGGACTAGGTTCCCTGGTGAAACATGGGAAGGGCCTTTGCCCTGCGGTGGGCGCAGTCCAGCTGATGATGACGATGATGAGCGGCTCGATACCCGATACAGCTGTTCCGACAGCTACATCTTCTGGCGATGCAGTTTGCGCTAAACAGCTTCAATATCAGCTTTGGGTCGTCAAGCAAACTCGCGAAACGGCCGACAGGCTTAGCCTGGTGGTCCCGACGTGGTAGTCGCCCGCTGCGTGCTAGGGGGCGTCCCGCAAGACCTAAATTTTTTTTTCCAACCGACCGACCGACCGACCGACCTGATATACCTGGCGCTCCAACTGATACGCCACTGATTCACAGTTATTTAGGAAGTGTATAAAGCCACCAGTATACATCATGTGAAAGGATATATACGGGTGCGATATATTTCCACCTCTATAATCATGATGAAAACTAGGTGAGGTTTCTGAGCTCTGAAGACTACCAACAGTACATAGTGTTTATAAACGGCTTGTCGTTAGCACCCGTGCCTACATACACTCCGTGGCGCAGTGGTTAGCGGCGCGCTTCGGAGCGAGAGGTCAGTGGTTCGACTCCTTGCAACAAAACTTGCTCAGTTTTTTCAGCCTATTAGTGTTCATTCTGTAACATAATATCAGTTACGGAGTGTGTCATAGGAGCCGTGGTGAACCCCGACATAAAACATATTTGTGTTAAAATATCAGCATATCTATGCAGTGAATGATGGTGAGTGGGCGAAGCTCCGGAGGTACATCTGTAAACCCCTAATCCTCTGTACGTCTTCCCCTGTTGATCATCATATAAAGACGGCGAGCACGCGCTGCAGCCATTTTCCGAGCCCTCCGCTCCACCGCCTTGTCTTCGTCACTCCTACTCGAAGCACACAGACTACCGGTGAAAGAGGAGGCACACCGAGAGCGAACGCGTTTTAACGCAACAGCGAACGTGGCCTCTTATAATACGACAGCGCGCATCGGAGTCGAGAGAGTACCGCAGCGCCATCTAGTGAGCAATTCTAGTACCAGCGTTGCGAGCACCATCTGGTAAGCGCCCTTACGAGTGGTGGCTACTACAACGCGGGACTTGCCTACACCTTAGGGAGCTTCGCCCCTAAAAAACAGCAGAAGACAGGAGAAGGTGGGAGCTTGGGATGAAAAATTGGTAAACAAGGGCGTGTCCAGGAGCTGACGTTTCATTTATTACCGTGGCGCAGTGGATAGAGTTCCCGGCATCTGTTGTCGCCGACCGAGAGGTGGTGATGGGAGTCGACGCTTGGACAAGCGAGCTTGTCTTCTTGCTAAAGCTTTCAGTAATCAATAGTCAACTTCAAGTCGAAACAAACGACCACACTGAAACAAAAAGAAACGCATGGACCGGAGGCGCTCTTCATTCAGAGTGGCTGTTAGTTTGGCACGATGTTAACTATCGATACTCATAAATGCACCAACAAGCCAAACAGCAAGAGCTACTGGAGTACATTCCTCCAGAAGACAAGTCATCTTGTCGAAATATCAGTTCCAGCCCACGCCTTGTTTATAGACTTTTCATCTCATTAAACGACGGGGGAAGTTCAGGGCGAGTGTCGCGGAACGGTATCCATCAGGCAGCCAATATCTAACCAAACGCAAGCTTGGTTCGCGTGGGTACTACCAACACCACGGCTTGCTTGCTAGGTTGCTTCGTCGTCGTCTTGTATTGTTCTCTACATATTAATTTGTGCTACTATGCTATATTAGTAGTATGATATATTACAAAGTATCATAACATATGCTATGATATCATGCACAGCTAAGGACGTTTGATTTTCGGGCAACCTCCTCAATCTAAGTGAACCCTTGACGAACCAACTGTGCTTCAAAACAGATGCTTACCTTTCAAAAACGCCGCGTCCTAGCGCTGACACCACCAAATCTGCACTTCATAATAAGCGAGGTGTTAATAAAAAATCTACTTCCACTACTGTCACTTTCAACTTGCTTCACGAGTGCTTTTTCTTTGCTGCAACAATGACAATTGGCTGTGGACGACTCCAATGTGCAGCAGAAGTCTCTGTTCCCGGCATCGTTCTTAGTCCCATCCCAAACTTTATTGATTTTACGATTGCAGAAACAAGAGTCGTTTGGAATATATAGGCCAGCCGTTGGTGGGATCACACGTGAACAGGCGGAAGGAGCTGAGGTTTGACTGTAGTGCCAACACAAACCCACAGTTCATAGCTCGCATTTGTCGCATTGTTCAACACCTATTGTTCTGTCCGAATACTTGACGAATCAGTCGTACGCTGAGTGTGGCCTCTAAGTGTTCCACCATAAAATAACTGGAGCCGAAATATTCGGTCTCTAAAACGTCTGAGTTATCTAGCCATTGCCAATTTCAGTGAATGTGGAGCAACTGAGCATCAGTATTGGAGTCTGAGTCTTTCTTTGAGACGTGCATACAAAAAATACATGGGTGAGGAGGAGGGGAGAAAAGGCTGCACAGTCGCGGCTTGACGCTGCTCCCTTTCCCCCGAATACATGGAGCTGCATGGAAACAGAAAAAGCACAGGCTAATGTGTAGCATAATAAACATAACATTTCATAACATCTCAGTCAGATCACCTGTGTTACTGAGGTTAGCTTACGAGAATTAGGCTATCGAAGCTTCACTACATGATAATAAAGTTCATGTATTTGCTTTTGCCGGTAGCACTGCATTTTTGTATGCTTCAGAGGTCAAAGAAAGTCTCAGGAGATATACGCAAACCTGCAGCGATTATTCGGGAGAAGCGCAGCACCAAACTGAACTAAAATCTTGGTGAGCTACAGCAAAGTGCAAACTAAGGCTTCAGGTCAAAACTAATGCTAATCATCTTTGATCTGTCGCTTTGCTTTACCGTTTTCGTGGTGTTTCATTCCATAGCCTAATGATATCTCGATTTAGCTCCGCACTTTTTGCGAATAATCGCGGCAGGTCCGGGTACTTTCTTTCACCTCTGAGGAATACAAAATGGTTAATTAACAATCAGCAATGTTAAACAATATTGACAGCAATGTTAAATCACAACATCAGGAAATACATTCTTCTCCTCCGCAGCTTAGCAATAAGCAATGCACATCTTATTGCAAGCAAATATGCTATATTATGCGCGCTTAGGATGTTCACACAGCTCCCTATCATGACCAGTTTGTTTCCCATCCTTGCTCTTGCCTAAGAGTATTTTAGTTTGCTGTGGTTGCGTATACACTGGTGGGAGGGCATGATACAATCTATACACTTCAATGCTCAAATATTCGTCGCATGTTTCATGGCTGGTCACATGAACTCAAAAGTTAGCCTTTGCGTTTTGAATCTGCGGCAAAACCGAGCAGTATTCCGAAGGCACGGTGCGGCATTCCGCACACATTGGGCGGCCGTGGTGGATCATGTGGTTTCACAGGCTGTGCAAGATTTTTTTAGGAGCGAAGCTCCTTAAGGCATGGGCTGTGCGTCCCCTGTATGTAGCCACCTCTCGTTCAGTTCTTGCAGTGTTCACTAGATGGCGGTACTTGTAGCTGACGGCATTAAGTATTACGCTAGCCACCGCCCGATCTAAAGGGTACAGCCATATCCATCCGTCCATCCGTCCGTCCGTCCGTCCGTCCGTCCGTCCATCCATCCATCCATCCATCCAAAAGATGCAAGATGTTATAAACTAGACGGCGGTACGTGTAGTTGATTATGAAAGATGCGAGGTGTTATAAAATAGGAATGATGCCACATATGGCGCGTGTCATCGTTCGATACAGTGCGGCGACGTACGCTATAGCGTTGCAATAAAATCGAGTGGGCAAAATGTACGGAGGATTCATGGTTTACCAGGTTTACCTCCGGAGCTTCGCCCACTCATCATCATTCACTTCGTGGATGTGGCGGCACTTTTTATGTGGAGAGTCTGCCAAGCACCTAGCAGGAGTTGACAATTCGGTTAATTACTTTCTTATAAATATGCTCTAGCGCAGCAGGTTTGTCTCACAGCATGTGGCTGGACTGGTTTTTATGATTACCGAGTGAATGGTGTTAAAATTTTTGTTGGTGACAAAAAAGAGTGACGACCGCGAAATGAGCGTCCCTCGTTTGTAGAACAATGCACAATAGACATAATACTATAAGTGACAATAGCGATGGCTGTCACCTACGTATAGCGAGGTGACATACTTTTCTTTTATTTGTCCTTATCGCATGTTTCTCACCCATTTAGTCTGTGCATACAGGTTCCTTTCGGTTCAGCATTTTTTTTTATCTCGCTGACTAAATGAAAAGAAGTTTTGCGCCCTAACTTCCATCTGACGACTTATCATATCCCACCCGATGCTAGTGTGCGAATATTTCACAGATCATAAGGCATCAAGAAATGCTGAGACAGACGCAGGCGGTCTGTCATTGTTCAATTTTTAACGAGGCCGGCTACAATGCCGCTGCAAGACACCCCAATTTCCTCTGTTTTCCGAGCCATTATATAAACAAGGGAATTCAGAGTTGCAGGGGTGTTCTTCAGCGCAGTGATAACAGAAGTAAGTGTGCTTCAAGATTATCTCTAATCATCGCTATATAGTCTCTCCAATCATCGTCATATAGGTATTTAAAGCAGAGCTTGCTTCCCTTTTGAATTCCTTTGCCGAAGGTGGCAAGTGACCCGATTTCGTCGCCTTAACAAAGACAACTTTTTTTCCTCGAAATGCCGGCTTAAACGGCACAACCCCTGCTCTGCGCTTTCTCATCCCTCGGTACCTCAATCATCCTTCAAACTCTTGTCTTGATTCTATCCGCGCTCTCCCGTTTGGAGCCCACAGTTGGAAAAAAAAAATTGATGCGAATTTCTCACAAAGAAAGGCTTCCCAGTTGACGAAGAAAAAAAAAAGAGCTCACCTATTCATGGCATTCGAACCCAGTACTAACGGCTGTCCGGAACGATCACCCTCCCAAATGCGTAACACATCAATTTATGCTCCCAAAGACTCATTACATACTTTGTTACAATTCGCACTTTCATTTTTTTTTACTGTATAAGGGCGATATCGCTGCTTTTCCAGTTACCAGTGAATTTGCTACTTTGCGACCGGTAACCCTTTCTTCCCTGCAGAGCTCTGAAGACTCCCAAAGGTACAACGTCACGACGCTGTACCATGGCGTCAGCCTCGATGCGCTTAGCAACATCAGTACTTCTGGTGTTTCTGCTTGCTGAAGTAACTACACCAAACCCTTTCAATTGCAGGCCAGCGAAAAGCTTGATGAATGTCGACTGGAGAAAGGTAATGCGGCGCAATGCAGCTGTAAAATTAGATCTCAAATCTCGGCAAAAGATCTCGGCCCTTGTGGCAAGCAATCGGTTTGCCTCCACCCTCTGAACGTAACTTGACAAGACAGATGCTTGGGCTAGTTGGTGATTGGGAATCAACATAATTGCACAGCGCAAGACTACGAGTAGTTACGATGTAACTGCCCGCAGTCTTGCGCTGGGCAAAAATGTTGACTCTGAACGTAATTTTGTCTCCTCAATTATTGATGCGTTTCACACAATCGAATGATGCTTCCAACGTGTAGCCTTGATAAAGATCCCTATACTGGCGCACAATGTAGAATCGCGGGCTCTTTCGGTGTTCTAGTGTTGAATTGAATCGAACTGATTGAATTTGATCTGCATCTCAAGGTTGCGAGGATGACAAAGCACGCAAAGATGCAAGTATCAGCTTGAGTGGAACCCAGCCACCTCACACATAGGGCAACGTCGTAGCGGTTGAACAAGATGAGGCGCTGTGATCGTACATGATTTTACACGAACTATGACTCATTGTGCTGAACCATACACCACACAAACGTAGAGTGGTCATAATGATAAACGAAATTACCATAGAAACGTTTTCCACGGCTTCAAAGAGGACGTAGATGAAGATAAGAAAGAAAGAGAGTGACAAAAAAAAACCTTATTTTTGTAAAGATTACAGATCTTTCTCGTCGGGTGGATTCCTTAGTTCAGGGCCCCATTGGATCACGACACACCACGCATCCCCTGGACCAGCCAACGCTGCTCCTGCGGCTGTCAGTGTTGTTTCACAAGAGGAATAGAGGGCGCTGTGGGAGCCACGACGCGCCGCGCTTGAGGCATCATGGGAATGGCGGGCAATACAAAAATTTTCTCCATTCTTTCGGCTTCGTTTGGCTTGGCGTGGCTTGAAGCTGTTGTGTCGTGAGACGACAATTAAAAAAAAGTTTTGGCAGTCGCGCTTCCCTATCCTAACCATCTAGGCTCGCCAATTTCAATCGGGTCACGAAATACACAATGGTCTGTTCTGTTGTTCGAAACTAAATGAAAACACAGCAATGAACGAAGTCACAAGGGCATTCGAAGACGCAAATACAAACACTGCGCAAATCTTGGTGCTAGCCCTTATTTTCATGGAGGCTGAACGATCGCAGCGCCAGAGTCCCCTCTAGTTAAAGCAATGCTATCTCTGCAGACTAGTCGGTTCATACTTGAAACTCGACTTGCTGTGAGCTGAAGGAAAATGAGAAGGAAGACAGGAAAAAAATTGGCAGATCTCACGTACACTGCGAATCAATGATATGCGAAGCACGATTGAGAAAGATTGGTATGTCACTTTAGAATCAGCACAACGTCACGAGGTGGAGGCCATTGAGGCCGTACATGGTTTCCGTGTCGTGATTATCATGTTTGGATGTGTCGTTTACCTTCGTCATCTATTCACGTCACGTGATACCAGATTTAGTATATGTGGAGCTAGCTAAACGCCCGCGAGCACGCTATGAGCGTGGTATGTTGTCATGTTCTTACATGACACGCGCGTCAGGATTATCATGTTTCCACCATTCATATAGTTTAGTCCTCCATTGACGTCACGTAACATCAAATTTGGTATATGTGGAGCTAGCAAAACGGTCACGAGCATATCATGAAGGGCCCAATGTACTCCAATGTTGCGTTCACGCACGCGCACGCGGGGCACACCGACGCTACGTCAGCGAAACGCGAGCACTCTATGGTCTGACGCCAAGCGAGACCGACGCGACCAGCGTCCGTAGCGCCGCCCGACAGTAACCTGCGCGAAATGCAACATGCTGCACTTCGTGCCGATGCGTTACGCAGCTACAACGCTGCATCTCCCTCCTTTCGTGACGGAGGGACGCCGGACGCGCTTAAACGCGCATGCGTCAAGGCAACGTATACCACAGCACTCGCCTGCGACTATACGGCAGGACCAGCGCCTGGCGTGGCAACGCCTGCATGATGCAACGAAAGGAATGCCGGCGAGCACACGCACCGCGTCATGTTGAAATGGATTGGCGCCTTGACTTGGGCATGTAGTCATGTTCCCACATGACACGCATCTCGTGATTATCTTGTTGGCACCAGTCATATACCTTCGTCATCCATTTATGTCACGCAATGCCGAAATTTTGCATGAGTGAAGCTCGCGAAACGGCCGCGAGCGCATCATGAGTGTGGCGTGTAGTCATGTTGTTACATGACACGCATGTCGTGATTATGCATGTTTTGGTGTGTCATTCACCTATGTCGTCCGTTCGCGTCACGTAATACCGAGTTTGGTACATGCGAAGCTAGCGAAACGGCCGCGAGCGCATCATGAGCTCAGCGTGTATTCATGTTATTACATGACACGCATCTCATGTTAACTATGTTTGTACCAGTATCATACCTTCGTCATCCATTCACGTCCCGTAATACCAAATTTGGTAATAAGTGAAGCTAGCGAAACGGCCACCAGCGCATCATAAGCGTGGCATGTACTCATGTTGTTACATGACACAGCGTGTCATGATTATAATGTTTGCACCAGTCACATACGTTCGCCATCAATTCACGTACCGTAATACCAAATTTTGTATATGTGAGGCTAGTGAAACAGCCCCGAGCGCATCATGAGAATGTCATGTTGTCATGTTGCTACATGACACGTGCGTCATAATTTTCATGTTAGGGTATGTCACAGGTGTTCGACATGTAATCGTGCCATACCATACCAGTTTTGTAACATGCCATGTGAACGAAGCCACCGCAAGAGCTGCAGGACCATGAAACGTAAAACAAGACATTCATGACATAATTTTCTTGTTATGACTTGTCAAATATGTTTTTTCATACAGTCATGTTATGCCATACCAAGTTTGGTATCGATACCATTATCGAAACGGCCAGGAGAGCTAAAAGTCGTAGGCGGCTAGATAGATAGATAGATAGATAGATAGATAGATAGATAGATAGATAGATAGATAGATAGATAGATAGATAGATAGATAGATAGATAGATAGATAGATAGATAGATAGATAGATAGATAGATAGATAGATAGATAGTGTTGCGAACGACCTCCGAAATCCCACCGCTGACCTCCACTGTTGGGAACGACGGACCGATCCCGCCGAAGCCACCACTGTTGCGAAAGACGGCGACGCCAACACGGCCCCGGAGGCGCCACCTGCTTTCAACTCCGCCGGGAAGGTCACCAGCCGTTTGGTAGCGTATGTTTATCAGCTCGCGACTGCTTCTGCGCAGAGCTGATAAGACGAGCGGACGAGACGACGGTGAGTTAAACAAGGTTTATGTACAGCATATTTACAGAGGCGTTACAATTTCGGCACTGGGGCCGACAGAGACTCGAAGAGCCGAGCTCTTCTCTCTAACACATAGGTCAGTCTTTCGCCTAAGACCGCTGACTCACACACATGTCGGCACTCCGACACGGGGACGCCTCTCACATAGGACCGCCGATCGCGACGCGCCGCAGGGCTTCTTTTATTTACACCGGGTCCAACCAAAATGTCCAATCAGAAGCGCCGCTGGTCGTCCGGGCAGATTCCGCCAATGGGGCCGCCGCGCCATGCGTCAGACCACCTGACACGAGGACGCCGGCTCGCTGTCACGTGCGCAACTGACTCACTGCACGTGGGCCAGAGGAGCGCCGCGCGTGTTCACGCCGTCGAGGTGATCGCGCCAGGCAGACTGCGGGCTGACCTTGACCCAGATTGCCTTTTTCAGAGGCACGGTCGTTTGACGAGGACTCGCTGGCATAACAGCACCCCCGCCGCCAGGCAATGCACCGGAAAGACGAGCTGCTTCCACGGGGCTCGGATGTCAGGTGCGCTCGTTCGCCAGGTCCCTCCAGGTTCGCCTCCAGGGCCATGGGGAGACTACAGCTCCAGACTGTTCCGGGAACACATCCCATTTTGACGACGGATCCCAGCTCCACTGGCTCGTCGCCACAACTTGTTGACCAGCTTCACTCGTCTCTTCTGACCATCTTCGGTTTCAGCACTTGTCGATGGTTCTGCAACTTGCCAAGAACGGATCGACAACAGACAACACACGACACACGCAAGTGCCTTTGGTCACCCGACAGAACACCAGACAAAGTATAGTACAACATATACCTATCTACGTGTCTATCGGAATTTTGTTCCCTCTACATCAAGAGGCACATGTGGGACAAAAGACCCCTAAAATGACAACTCAATTTTTCTTTTCCCACGTACAACAACGTAACGGATTAGAATACCACATAAAGTTGGCCCCTTGAGATCACTCTGAACGAGAGCGCTCAGCCCAGGTCGAGATGAGGTCAAAATTTTGCCCCGAATCGCCAGCGAGAAACCGAAAGGTTGAGAAGTTACTAGCTGGAACGCACTGCTCAATGCACCTGCATTAGCGTTTACCTTTTCTTTTTTTTTTCTTTAGTGAACGTCAAAGTTGCGCTGTGGAGCAACATGCTCCACTTCAGTAACCGGCCACTTTTAGGCGACGATACCTATGCGGCACCAAGAGCGGCTCACACTTTCGACGTTGCACAGGGGAACAACGATACGGCTTGCTACTGATTGACTCCTCACCGCTTAGCTCGATATCGTGTTCGATCACCGTCGTGTCTCCGGGACGGTCCGACAACACATACCCAAACTCGGAAACAATCTTTCTCAGGTCCTCTTTCTCAGGTCCTCCTTCACTTAAGCTAGGCTCTAGGTTTATCTGCTCCCGGATTACTTTCGATCCCCCTTCGATCACCTCACTAGAACTCAATTTTCTGCTTCCTCTTCCTCTGAAGCCTTCAACAGCTGATTTACGACCGCTTGATGTTGAACATTGGGTTTCATCAAGTTGTAAATTTTGTTCTGCCGCCTTCCTACTTGCACCTCATAAGTGTATCGCAAGGCTTCGATAATACTTTGGTGGGCCCTTCCCAATCAACCTCAAGCTTGTTCCTTTTGAACGGCTGCGGCAGCATTACCTGACTCCCTACTTCAAAAGCACGCTTCTTCACCGATTCCTCGTAGTGCTCCTTCGACAGCACTTTTGCCGCGTTTTTCTGGCTTTCCACTCGCGCTTCAATTTGGCTTTCCACTAGCGCTTCAATCGAGAGATCCTCACTCTGCCCTCGAATGAGCGTCTCTCGATCAACTCTCGGCAGCTCGCTCCAACTTTCCGCTACAGGCGAGAGCGTTGCAACCCTCTCGCTCTGACTCAATGGCGCCACGTCGTCTCCCCCAGCGCATACCGCGCCGGCCGCTCCCGCGACGGGCCGCTCGCGTGACTGCTCACATGACTCATGCGGAAAATTTCCTTTCTGGGGTTCCGTCGACCCGCCGACAAGGTCACTTGAGAGTTCACCGCATGGAACCAAGTCAAGGCTTCCGCGAAAGCTTTCGCGCTTGCGATCGCGTGGGAGCCATGCACGCTAAGTTGGGGAAGAACGATTTGCCCTGCTCTTTGAGAAGCTGCTCCGAGTTGTTGGAGAAAAGATAAGAAAAACGACCATTCAGCGCGGCAGACACAGCCGCTTCGGTGCAAAGCTTACCGAACGGGCCTTCAATGATAACGGTGGCGATTGGTAAGCGAACACTCTGCTCCTCGGCGACTTGCCTGATCCACGCGCATTCTCCTGTGAAGTCATCCGGAGACACCAATGAAGGATGGACAACGTCCATGGTTGCCGCTGAGTCTCTAAGTGCTCGGCACGTTTTCTCATTGACCCTAATTTCTTGGAGATACGGCTCCAACAACCGCATGTTTTTTTCTGATTCTCGGATCGTTGCGAAGGCAAACTTTTCCTGACAGTTTCTCGCGATGTGCCCTTCCTTTTTACAGTTGTAGCAGATTAGCGGCTTCCGTTTGTTTTCCGGTTCTAATGCCTGTGTGGTAGAAACCTCACTCGATTTCTCCGCTTCTGTTTGCCCTTCCCCTACACTGTCCTTCGTAAGAGACGGGTCCTTCTTGAAATTACGGTGCGGAGCGGGTTTCCGTTGATCAGGTTTCCTTGAAAAGCCCTCTATCCTTTCATCCTTTCAACGCGCGCTGCCCTGCTATGCAACTTTCGGCGAGTATAATACTCCTCAGCTAACTCAGCTGCCTTGTTTAACTGTACGTCCCCAAGTCTGTCCTGCAGCCAAAGTTTGACATCCTCCTCGATGCAGCGGTAGAATTGCTCCAATGCAACGCATTCCACCACTTTATCGCGGTCGTCATAAACACCTTCGCCCTTGAGCCATTCAATCAAATCGGCTTTAAGACGAAACGCGAAGTCAACGTGTGACTCATTCCCCTTTCTAGCATACCGGAACCTTTGCCTGAAAGCCTCGGGTGACAACTTATAACGTCTCAAGAGCACTTCCTTAACCTCGTCATAGCTCTCAAACGCTTCCCTCGACAAGCAAGTTATCGCGTCGGACACTTCGCCGGAAGAAGAGCTAGCAGGTTCCGCGCCCAAAGAGACTGCTCCAAAGCATTTCGCTCACAGACGTGTTCAAACTTGACGAGATACTTCGCCATGTCCTCGCCTACTACGAACGGTGGCAGTTGATCCCGAATTCTAATACCGCTGACTTGAATCGTCGGAGAAGCTGCGCTAGGCGCCTGCGAACACTGTAGGATTGCCAATTCTAGTCGTTTCAACTCGAGACGCTCCTGTCTCTCGGCCTCCTCGCGTCGTTCGCGCCTTTCAGCCTCTTCACGTTCGCGAGCTTCGCGCCTTTCAGCCTCTTCACGTTCGCGAGCTTCGCGCCTTTCAGCTTCTTCACGTTCGCGAGCTTCGCGCCTTTCAGCCTCTTCGCGAGCTTCGCGCCTTTCAGCCTCTTCGCGAGCTTCGCGCCTTTCAGCTTCTTCACGAGCTTCTCGCCTTTCAGCCTCCTCACGCTCGCGAGCTTCTACTTCTCGCCTTTCAGCCTCCTCACGGCGTGCTTTAATATCCACCCAGGCCTCATCGACTTCCTCAGCCGACACTCCTCCTCATCCTTCATGATATCAAGGATCGCTTGCTTTCGTTTCGCACGGCCCAAAGTAATGCCGAGTTCCTCACAAATTTCGATGAGTTCCTTCACTTTAAGGTTCTCCATCGTTCACACTAGCCTCTTGCTGTTTGCCCCTGTTAAGAATCTACTTGCCGTACCCACTATAAGCCTACTAGCAAGACGCGCAAGCAATTTTTCACCTCCCGTGTTTACCACCTCCGCATTAACTTTGGTTTCAAAGCACTTCAACTTGGCTTGAAACGATCAAAGCTCACTTCAATGCTTCACACAGCCCTTTCTCTAAACTACTACAACCTGAGCTAGAGTAGTCTGGTGAACTGAGGGGAAAACATCAGGCACTCACCGCATCGATGTCGCTGACGCCGGCCGATCCCGCAGCTGCCAACCACTGTTGCGAACGACCTCCGAAATCCCACCGCTGACCTCCACTATTGGGAACGACGGACCGATCCCGCCGAAGCCACCACTGTTGCGAAAGACGGCGACGCCAACACGGCCCCGGAGGCGCCACTGCTTTCAACTCCGCCGGGAAGGTCACCAGCCGTTTGGTAGCGTATGTTTATCAGCTCGCGACTGCTTCTGCGCAGAGCTGATAAGACGAGCGGACGAGACGACGGTGAGTTAAACAAGGTTATGTACAGCATATTTACAGAGGCGTTACAATTTCGGCACTGGGGCCGACAGAGACTCGAAGAGCCGAGCTCTTCTCTCTAACACATAGGTCAGTCTTTCGCCTAAGACCGCTGACTCACACACATGTCGGCACTCCGACACGGGACGCCTCTCACATAGGACCGCCGATCGCGACGCGCCGCAGGGCTTCTTTTATTTACACCGGGTCCAACCAAAATGTCCAATCAGAAGCGCCGCTGGTCGTCCGGGCAGATTCCGCCAATGGGGCCGCCGCGCCATGCGTCAGACCACCTGACACGAGGACGCCGGCTCGCTGTCACGTGCGCAACTGACTCACTGCACGTGGGCCAGAGGAGCGCCGCGCGTGTTCACGCCGTCGAGGTGATCGCGCCAGGCAGACTGCGGGCTGGCCTTGACCCAGATTGCCTTTTTCAGAGGCACGGTCGTTTGACGAGGACTCGCTGGCATAACAATAGATAGATAGATAGATAGATAGATAGATAGATAGATAGATAGATAGATAGATAGATAGATAGATAGATAGATAGATAGATAGATAGATAGATAGATAGATAGATAGATAGATAGATAGATACGCTCAAAATTGCCGAAGTTCGCTAAGAAATGCTTCGCATTTAATAGCGCAGTTCCTGTCATTCCTGTTTTCCTCCTCATTTTCCTTGAGCTTGCGCAGCAAGTCGAGTTTCCCTCTAGTTAGTTTTAGGAAATTTCAGTCTTAGTAAGGCGCCTTTTGTCTGCTAGTTTTTCCCTTTATCCTCATCCTTCTTTCCCAGCTTGAGAAGAAATTCTGGATTCAGGCTCTGGTCGACAAACCGCACAAAATCACTCAGTGCATTGCAAGGCGTTACCGGGCAAAACAAGGACAACTTGACTCCAGAACCATAGGAGGGTAAGCGCTGTGCTTCCCACACATCCGCCCACGCTTCATTTCATTTCATTTATTTACTCTCAAGGCCGAAGCATTACAGAGAGGAGCGGGTATACATCGTACAGAAAATCAGGAAATACAGCAAATCAAAATTATATGCGCACAATGGCGGTCTGAAAACCATAAAAGAAAAGAAAGACTGCGTGATGTGAAGAAGAGGCAGGTGGTTGTAACAACAATGTTCAACATGGTTGCGTCTTTGAATGACACGCGCACACAAAAAAACTAACAAGAGAAAACACAGCGTGACTTAAGTGGCGAATTTACGCGAAATGGTTAGAGAGGGCGTTTTTAAACAAAGTGAGGTCAGTGATAGCAGCGATAGGGGCGGGAAGGTGGTTCCACTCATTTGCAGTTTTCGGGATGAATGATTCAAAATATAAATTCGTGCGGGCGCTAGGAACGCCCACTTTAAACTGATGATCGTTGCGTGAGGAAACGTACGATGGGGGCTGGAAAAGAGTGTTGCTAAAAGACGGAATACAATGAAAGATCTTATGGAACAGGCAAAGGCGAGATATTTTACGCCGCAGCTTCGGTCGGAACATAGAGTGATGCACTCTTTGGACCATTTAGCAACCCTAATAAAGTTTAGTGTGGGTGAAACAAACAAAAAAATTTAAAAATATGCGGGACCACTGCTGATCGGACGCTGACTGTACATGTATTCGAGAAGCTCGAATAGTAAAGTTCCGTTTTCAACCGGATCGAAAAGCCAGAAGTATTCGAGAACATTTAAATTTCAAATGTTCGCGTGATCTCAGTTGTGCTTTTATCTGAACAAGTCAGCAAAATCGGTGATTTGATTTGTTAGAAAGATGCTTCCTTAAATAGAAATACAAATTTTTTTTGTACAACATATAGTCACCAAAGCTGTAATTTTTATGATCCCCCAACCTGCGGTTCAGCCGCCGAGTGCCTTAGCCACTAAGACCACCGTGGGAGGGGCTGGACAAGATGGTGTATTGTTTCTGGAAAAGGTTAAGTACAGGAGATACACTGAAAAAATTGATGACTATGTTGTTTATTAGCTGGGTGGTACCGTAGCCAGAATAACTTCGCGGGGTTTTCAGTGACTGTTGTCTCATTATGCATTGCCTCATTTAACCACTTCAAGAACAGGAAAACCAATTGGAGTCGTTCTCCTGTTAACCTCAATGTTTACAGTTATCTATTTTATTCTTTTAATTGAACATGAAGGTACGGTCATCACCTAGAGCAAGGTTCACACGCTTAATTGAGCACCATATAGAACGCGGCCAAGGCGGAATGCGACATCTTCTGTTTGTCAGTTTCCTCTTATGCGTTTTATTCGATGAATCTGTTTGACGCTCGTGTGATCACGCAGAACTGAGCAGGAAGTGTGGAACATCTCGAAGACTGTCCGCCATGGAGTGCACAACAGAGACACAATTCGATTTCCCAAAAGTGAGTCCGGCATTTTCGTTTGCTTGCAGTCGGTTGAAAACACGTCAACCAAGATATTCTCATTCTGCCGATCCAAGCGCCCCTTTCTTTCGAGACGCAGGGAGCGTCTCACAGGAGCCACTAGTTTGATCTCCTGTACTTTCAGAACCACATACGAAAATCAATCCTACGCCGCCGTCTATGAAAACAAAAAATCACAGCGGCTTAGCTGGGCTACAGGTATGGTTATGCAAGCAAGAGTTTCTTACGCTTTGTTATGCTTCTAGTAACATCGAGTAATAGTTGAGAAGTGATGAATTTCAACCAAATGCAGCGGCGAAACCGAAGTACGGACGAGAGCCATATTCTGCAGAGATGTGAAGATCGAAGATCAATCGAACTTACCGTGTGTAAGTGTAGGCTGTGCTTGCAAAAACAGCACGTATGGTGCACATACGTTAACAATGGAGAGAAGAAACATTTGTTTACTTATATCAAGGCTAGAACTGAAACCCCTGCAATCGTCCTCTAGAACAACTACGTCGTTCTGGTCATATGCTTGTTTCGCTCATAGGTGTATTGGTTTCACCGTTGAATTTGGTCGAAATTCATTGCGCCAGAGTAATCAGTAGAGGCCCCTTCCTCCCTATTTGAAAGCGGCGAGGGGCTCTTCGTATGAAGAACTTCAATTCTACCGTTTGACGTAACCACCTAGCTATACTAAGAAAGCTGATTAGGGTGACTTCTTTAATTGCAAGTCTCAAATGATTGTTGGCCGATATTATTATGACTGCCACCAACTTCCTTGATTATTTCCCCAAATGATTTTAACTGTGTTTAGAAGAAGTAGTTAACGATTTACAGTAGTTTGTACTGTACTATGGGAGAGCTTAAAGGATTTTAACTATCTTATTATGCCTGCCACTGCTGGAACAAGAGCGACGAAAAGGTAACCGAAGAACTATTGTGCCTTCGAGTCACGCTCACCATAAATAGTGCCTTGGTTTACATGTTATTGTATATTTCTACATAGTCCGCTCAGTTCGAATTTTCAGGTTATTCCAGTGATGAAACATTTCTACTTCATCCTTTTACAAAATATAAAAGGTTCCTTGATAGCAATCTACGGTTTCATGACCAATCTTCCGTAGTTTGTAGGAGTCCTAAATCAAGATACAAGGCAGGCAAGCAAGCTGCATAAACCAACCTTTCTATCCATCAGATGATTTCTTTCAGCCACTACAAAAAAAAGCAATTTTGAAGGCAGCGAGCACATATCATTTTTTTTTCGTTTTTGAGGATATTCGAACACATTTATTGAAAGGCCCTGTTCATAATATTCCAACCATACTCAACCGGTACACACACACACAACCACATTAAATAAAAAAAAACATCTGCGCGACCACTTTTTATCTTTATAAGAACGCATTACCCTTCATTCTTGTACGAAGGGTCATTGTTACATTTTATGTGTACGTGTGATGTATGCTGATCTGTATGTATAATGCTTTCGATGTGAATGCCAAGTAAAACCACTTGTTGACATGTGGCGTATATGTGCTATTGCCATGTAAAGGACCCTGGGCATTCGTCAAGCTGCTGTGATTGCATTTTGCTCAGGTGTCCCTCCAGATGATTGCTTTCTGGCAAATAAAATTGAACTGAATTAAATTTAAATTTTGTTCTCCGATCCACGAGCTCTCGATCGGTAACTAACTCGGCACATTGATGAGCTTTTCAGGAAAAATCGTGTTTGAACTCGTGAATATTCATTTCTGTGCAGCTCGTCGTCCTCACTTCTTTCAAATACTGGACACGGACTACAAAACATACCTGGTGGAAAACAACTGCAATGTAATGTAAGTATTATTGTTAAGCAGAGGAAACGGGTATGGTAGGGCAAACCTCCCCCAAAAAATTAAATTTGCATTTCGGCACCGAAAAATCCAATGTACTTCGAGGAACAAACCTGTGGAACCCCAACGTAGAGCGGCTGGTCCAAGCATTAGGCGCACGTAAAAGTTTCTTTTCATCACATTGCGCTTTCTGTAAATTTTTCAACTTCACGTGTACCTTTTTTCGAAAAGCATTGAATCGATTTTGATGAAACTCTGTACGCTGAGCGACAAGAAGTTAGAAACAATCTGAACTAAAAGAAAGGGCTGATTTCATAAAAAGTGAAGCTGTAAGAAAATTACGCAACAGTATACGCACCTTTAGTGGCGTTGTTCAAGTGGGGTTTTAATTTCTTTAAGACAACTACATAAAAAATGTAATATATTTTTTAGTTTGGATGTAACCTAAGAGTGTCTAGAAAAACACGGCTGAATATGACTACATTGTTTTCGATAGTTGCAGAAAAAAGGTACATTCAATAGGTGAACTCCCTTTAAATTTTGGGAGTGGGCTACAGGAAAGGATAAGCGATCTGGGCATACGAAAAGGGTGTCACTTGACACCCAGTGTCATTTTTTGGGGGGAGCACGTAAATTTTTATGGCAGGACTGGCAGCCATTTCTAAGATATTACGCTAAACCTGACACATACCATTTACCCTTAAGCGCCTGTTCTCGTTTGTTAGACAGAATATTCGCGTGAACTAAAAAACAATGATGCCGAGGAACGTATTGGGGATGTTATTAGTTGTAAACTTGGTGTACCTGGGAAGCTTATTGTTTCGAATATTCGTGCGTGCAGCCTATAGAAATTCTGAAACTGCCTCAAAAAAAGAATAGGACGACGTAATTGTATAGGCGCTTGGAGCTGTATAGGCGCCGAAACTAAATTTCCCCCAACACAGGGTCTGGTGCGGTTCTTTCTCCAATGTGTGCTTTCTGTGGCGAGCTAGAGACTATGAATCGTCACTTTTTGACATGCAGGCGATTTAGCACAGCCGGTAGATTTAAGTTGGAAAATTCTTTACGTGCTATCGGAATGAATTTATCCGTGCCCGTGATAATGTCCTTTGGAGCCTCTATTGCTGGGTTCACCAGTGCGAAAGTTTGCGAGGTAGTGCGGAATTATCTGAATGAAACCAAAAGACTAACAAACTAATCCTATTATTATTCTGCGTCGACATGCGCATAACTTTTTTTAAAGTTAGATTTTGATCTAGCTGATTATATATTACTAATACAAAAAACTTTATAGTAGGTACAGCTTAGTTGTCATAAAAATTTCATTCTAAAATTCGTAACGTCATTTTTATTTGATAAGTTCATTTACTCTAAAATCAAATAATACTTTTTAAGAACACTCAATTATTGGCCAATTCCCCGCAGTCAGTTTGAGCCACGAGTGAATGTTGCTGAACAAAGCAGTTGTTTCCCACTACTGTTTTAACAGCTGAACTCTTTAGGCTGGCGGTAGTCTGTCGAGCACACACACACAACACAAAACAACGCATCTTCACGACGAGTCGGCGAAGCATTGGGGATCGTTCTTAACGTAAATCACCGTGACATTTCCCGCTCACGCGTGTAAATGAGTGACAACGTGAGTGTACATTACACAGTACAATGTGTTTTCGCCGTGGAGCGTCCTGCTACCCGCACCCTCAGCATCTCCGGAGTAGCAGCTTCTTGTCGGCGTTGCCATGTTTTGCCTCTGCTTCCCGAGCTCCCGTTTGCGGGGTAGCTTGCTGTCTGCGTAGACGGTGAGCCGCCGCAAGCTGCAACTCCTGCCTCCGGATTAGCAGCTCGTAGTCGGCTTCGCCGCTTCGCCTTTTCAGGGGTGGAGCTCTTTCACAATCATTTTCGTCCATACAAAGAGAATGCGTGGTCTGGAACGTGTTATTCTTCATCGTCGTGACATATTCACCTTTTCATAAACGCCTCCATAGGCGCCACTATAGCCCTCCTTGGGCTGTGCAAATTGGCGCGTCCCCTCGAAAATGCACTGACAACGCTGCGCCCTTAGCCTTTGTACTCCCGCGCACAGCCCATCATGGCGGTGTCTTTTGCCTTCCTGTGAAAAGGTGTATGCTAGGTACCTTGCATGGGCTGTGACGGACAACGGACAACGCACAGCGGACATGACCGATACCTCTGTGATGGGAATCTGCAGTGTGCGAAAGTGAAAGGTGTCTTCACAGAGGTTGCTGAGCGTTTTCTGTGGATCGTTTCGCAATGAGGTCGAAGGGATGAATGCTGTAGTGTCACGTGAGAACCGGCAAAGCCGCTCGAAACTGGTCTTCTGGGCCCTAGTCAAGCTGTTTCATTACAGCTTTTAGCCCAGGAGACCATCCAGAATGTAATGTTTTCGTTTATTCTGGAAATAAAAGAAAAAGAAAAAAAAGAAAGAAACTTGCAGCGCATTTCTCGAGCAGAAGGGACGCGCGGAAAGAACATGCAGAACACGAGTGAGCACACGAGCCTCAATAACTGTCGCCTTCATCGTCAATGGGGCCCACCGTCACTGGGATTCGATCCCGCGATCGAAGTGCTCAGTAGGCCCCACCCTCACCCGCAGACTGAGCGACTCTTTACCGGATGTAGTACGCGTAAGTCGTAAACGCTCTCGCCCTCACTGTCTTTCCCCCTCATCCTCCAACGGTAGCATGCCCTCATAGTGTTACGTTTCATTTGATGAGCGCTGTTCGCGGCTCACTCAAAGAAATTCATGTTTCGTCTGATACTGCTATATTGTTTCTCGAAAAACCGTGGCACAAGCCTAAGAAACTTGAAGAACGAAGACAAGACGGAAAGATCCTCTCGTTTTTTGAGCATGCGTCACGTCTTTCGAGTAACGATGCACCAAGTGGCCCGACATGACGTGCTACTATGCGACGACGTTTTTATCTATATTTGTATTCATTTTGCACATTTTTCTTTGTTACAGACCGCGGTAACGTCGTTTCGCTCATGTACCACAAGCCAGTTAAACACATTCCGGAGCAGGTGATGAAGAAGACGTCCGCGGCATTACTCAAATCGGGATTAGGTCGAATCCTCAAATTGTCTACCACGGATTGCATGTTGAGCGGGCAAAGGCATAAGCAAACATATTGGGCCGTGGTTTAACATCAGCGTTTCTGTTGATTAAGCTAATAACGACGGTCAATAAAGCGTGTTGGTCAACGCCTTCTGCTTCAATTTACGCGCATTTCAGGCAAGCTTCGCCAACACAAAGATTAAGAGAACAATTTGGTTCAATTGTTTTTTTACTCACATCGCAGCAAGCGGAAGGCTAGTGGCGAATTTCACTAAATATTTATATAGATTTCGTAGATGATCGAACTAATTGAAGGACTAACTGGTCATGCTACAATGGATAGTGTCGAAAGCTGTTTCGAAGCTTATGTTTTTGTAAAAGTAAACAATGACTCTTCTTTGCACCGAAGCTTTTTTTCCAGAGCGTAAGTAAATAATTTCTGTTGCTCTCATTTATCATATCACGTTGGCCTTGTATTAAATGTGTGAAGAAATTAGTCATTTATACACTTTGGACTTGAATAAAAAATGTTTTCCGAAGGTCGCATACAGCCCCACCTCGGTGGTCTAGTGGCTAAGGTACTCGGCTGCTGACCCGCAGGTCGCGGGATCGAATCCCAGCTGCGGCGGCTGCATTTCCGATGGAGGCGGAAATGTTGTAGGCCCATGTGCTCAGATTTGTGTGCATGTTAAAGAACCCCAGGTGGTCGATTTTTCCTGAGCCCTCCTCTACGGTGTCTCTCGTAATAATATGATGATTTTGGTATGTTAAACCCCACATATCAATCAAGGTGTCATATAGCTCACACTTGTATAACAACGTACAGGGGCGTTCAAAGGTTGCCAGGTCGCTATCTTTTGCAGTTTTACGGCAGTGCGGCCTGAGAATATTTGAACACGCTTGTCCAGTGTCAATTTTCATGAAAGGGAACACGGGAGCGCGTGGACTGTGCACTCCGGCGGCTGCTGACAGCGCGTTCAAGTGGGAGCGAGAGCAACCACAGTATCTGTTCGCGTCATCTCGCGGTGAGCAAAACAACCGTTCGTTGCTGATATGGAACCAGCGGCTAGATTGCGACCCCCTCCCCCCCCCCTTCAAGGCAATTACGCGAAAGCCGGTAATCACCTTGAAGGGGGAGGGTTCGCAAGCTCGCCCTTCTATATCATCAACGGATGGTTGTTTTGCTCGCCATGAGATGACGCGAACAGGTACTGTGGTTGCTCTCGCTCCCACTTGAACGCGCTGTCAGCAGCCGCCGGAGTGCGCAGGCCACATGTTCCCGTGTTCCCTTCCATAAAAATTGACACTGGACATTTTGAGCCCACAGAGGGCGAAATATAGAGAGAATAAGATTGAAATAAATTCAAATAGCAGGATCTCAGTGTTCTCTATAGGCCACCTCATGTTATAAGCCAATTTCAAAAATAAATTAGCTGGTATAAATCAGAGCACTGAACTCAAAGAGCATGACGGTGACACCATGACTCTGTTCGTGAATAAACGCAGCGAAGACGCATCAAGCTCCTCAGCGTGCTGTCTTACACAGAGTAAATTTTTTAGAGAGAAGTGCGTGAGTTTTCGAAAAGCGCGGCAGGTGCCTCAACACACGTGCTCACAAGCCGGGTGCACCTAAAGGTTATTCTTCAAGTGTCAAATGTTCGCAACAACATATACTTGCGATCTGTTAACAATGTCGTCATAATTTTTCACTTCTCGGCCAATTCATTTTCTTCCCTCTCGGGGTCCTTTGCACATCAACCATTGGTGCTCTCTCGTATCATAGAGTAAGAGTTAGTGAGTGGATTTGAAGGAGAGGAAAAGAGAGCTAATTTCTGTCTGCCTTGTAGGCGGCACGGCAAAGCTTCATGTAGGGGATGGGGTAAGGGATAACAAAAAAAATCACCACCTAAGCGCTCCGTACAAACTGGTGC